GGGAACAGCCGGCGCGGGGAAGGCCAAGAGGAATCCCAGGCCCGCGGCGGGAACTGCTGCCGCGCTCCGGGAGCGGGGCGGGCACTAAGTGCAGAAACGTGCCCGGAACTCCTCGGGCCCCGGGGGTGAGATTCACTCACAGAAAAAGGAGGCGCGTCCGGAAGTGTTCCAAAGGTCCCTACTGTGTAATCAGAGTCACTTTCTCATGGTGGGCAGGTTCACACCCAAGTAACGGAAAAATCCTTTTTAGTCAAGCTTAATTGAGACAATTTCATCACTGAGCTGAGCATGTGTTCCCGAGATTCCTGCATTAATCACTTAACTTGTTCTTTGATGTTCTTCACTTGATAGTTATTTTAATGGTAATTTAAATTAGATTATTATTTAAAATTAAATTTAATAATTTAAAATAAATATTACCATTAAATAGGATTGTTATTTTAATGGTCGTTTACCACTGTAAGTGGTATTAGTGCCAACTAGGAAAAAATGCAGAAAAATTAACACTTCAGGTAAAACACTGGGTAACATTTAAGTTGTTGCACAATTTTTGATACAATCTGTGCCATAAAAATAGATTTAAATTCTAAAATAGTCGATATCCTACAAACTGTCTTAAGGGGTGAGTAAGAGGGTAAGTGCATTGGGTTTAGGGATGGGAACACAGCACATTCTCTTAGGAGTTAGCTGCTGGCCTCCTCAAACTTACACGGACTATTGATGTTGCTGTCACTGGTTAAACCACAGGTGCCATGCAGCGGAGACCTACTTCTTATCAGCAACTTGAACACTCACCAGCAAACGTGATCAATAGGCACTTTGCACAGATGCATACTAATGTTAAGGATAATGTTGCTTTTTTTTTAAATGACACTACAAGGTAGTGTCTTATGATCCTTAGGTAGTACAGTGGAGTTGTACTCAGCTGAAGGTCCTAAGGTGAGAGGCAATGGTACAGTTTGAATTTCCCAGCTTTCTGCTCCCTGCCTCAAACCCAACAGCAAGTTTGGTTTGGTTCTGGTGTGTATCCAGAAACAGGGACTCTATGAAGACCATCAAAAGAGGTTATAAGTTTCCTGCTTTTTTCTTTCTTGTCACATCTTACACCCATTGTTTGGGAACTGAGGTGAATGGGCAGACCTGCAGTGCCTGTTGACTGGTTCTTCATAGACAAACACTAAGACCCTTTAATGGTTAGGCATCACTTTTAACTTTAAAAAAAAATTTCAATACATGCTATTGTGGTAACAAATATTTCCACCACCATGAATAAAACCGTAAAGCAAATGTAGATGCTGTACTGGTGGAATGACTTAAATGTAACTTGTGCACTATTTATGAAGTAGAGTACTTCCCTTAGGAAGTGTGGCAGGGAGCAGGCCGTTTGCAATAAAGAAATTCGCTTGTTCCTAGAAGGAAGCAACAGCAGTTAGTTGGGAATCTACTGGTGTGGACCTCCAGCCATAAAATGGATCTTCCCACAGCTCTCCTGAATGCAGAAGAAAGTGGACATTATACACCTGTATACACACAGTGTGAAGTCACATGGATTCAGGAGAGTGTTAAATGGAAACCCTCTTCTTTCATGAAGAAAGTGCCCTCTTCTCTCATGATTCCCACCTGGAATGTTTTGCAAATAATGCATTCACAAGCTGTTTGATCTGAATGTCAAAACCACCATTAAACCATTGTTTATTGTTGCTTTTAAGGCATAATAGCTGATACTGTATCTTACGTGCAACTCAGCTGTTGCTTTCAGGAAGAGTTAGAAGAGCAGTTACTGATCTCTGGGGACCGTGTTCAGTTTAATTCAAGCAGATCTTCTGTTAATCTCATGCTGTTTCCTATCTGGTTGACCTGCTGCTAGGTCCCCAAGGAAGTGCATTGGTGCACTGATGAACAGTGGAATTTGTAACTGCTCACCACATTTCTGAAAGCTTATTCTACTTGGAATTTTATCTTAAACTCTCAAAACCTCTTAGAACAGATACCAGTTTTCCAACTGTCTCTCCCAGGCAGGGCCAGTTATGCATGTGGGCGGTATCCAAGGCTGCCAGAGGAGGTTTCCTCCTCATTTTGCCTCTGGCAAAGAAGATACAGTGCAGCAGTTTGAGTAGTATGTTGTGCCTGAAGAGCCGGTCCACTGCTCTCCCACAGCTCCCTGCTGCTGAGCCAGGTTTATGTCAAGGCAGTAAGAACTGCAAGTGACTGGTAGCTGTGGTTGGTTCACTAGTGTGGTCTTTTCCCAGAAGGGAAAGAGAAAGATCATCCCAGATTTCCTGAGCCTTCTGAAGGCTTCCCCTGAACCCATACAGATTCTCCAAGTCCTTTTGTCCTTATTTTTAGAAACGCCACAGTCTGTTTCATCTTCACTGCCAAGCAGCTCATTTCCTAGGTACACCATGTAATGGATCAGTCCTACAGTGACATGCAGTTTCACTTTGCAACTCTGAAATGAATTGGTATCTACATATATCAGACTCTTGATTGTTACAACACACAAACATTAGCAGAACAGGCATTGCATACAAATGTCATTTTCTCGGTGACTTAAAGAGATCTATCAAGCCTTATATCTGTTCAGTTTGCCATCCAGAAAACAGGTAATAAGGAAAATGGGCATAGTACCTGTAAACTGGCATGTCTGCCTAGTAGATAGGGGCTGGGTTTTCTCCCAGTACAGACGAATTTTGACAACTGTAGATTGGTTCAACTGAACAAGTAAAATCCTGTACAATGCTGAATAAATGATTATGTCCAGAGTGCTTTGCAGCAAAGGGTCTGTCAGCATTCAACATTTATTATTAATAACTTATAAAAGATGAATGTCTGTTCTATATTTGCTGAAGGAGAAGTCTTGGCTAGTCAGGAGAAATCCCATCGTCCAAAGCCTAAATAAAAAGTTATCCTAGATCAAAACCTATTCCTTCAGGTTAAATTTTATCTCCCAGCAGAGGATTATTAACTCAAAACATGTCACACACACCAATCTTTTTTAAAAATCTTTTTTGAAGAAGAGATGTGTCTGGAAAACAAATACATTCCAATAACTCTTAATTGTTGGAAGGGCCCCAAAGGATGAGATTGGATCAAAGGCCTCCTGAGATTGTCCTAATGCTTGTGAAATATTTTAAAATGTAAAGTGGTGTTATTACCTCAGAATTTTCTCTCTAGAACTTCCAGATTTATGTTGTACTTTGCAGGGCATTGATTGGTATTGATTTACAAAGTCAGGGTTTTTCAGTGTTTTCCACAGCCTGGGTCCTGTTTCAGTCTGGAGAGTATCTTGCACTCCTACCTCTTCCATTCACAACTGTGAGGTTGAACCCTCCCATTCAGGACTGCATAGGTCCTCTCAGATAACTGGAGCAATGGCTTGTGGAAAGAAGGTATATAGTTCAGAATATTTAAACCAATTTAGCTCTGCGAAGAAGGAATGAAGCCATAATTAGATGGCTCTGCTTTAAGTAGAAATTCTCTTGGTAACACACTCTTTGTTTACCTTCTTGATTATTAGAAGTTGGCAAATCTTGACATAAATAATATTGGGAATTTTAATTGCTGAGTTGGCTGGATTGGAAGTGGTGCTTTATAGAAAAGCAGATGATAAAGTTTTTTCTCATCATTTTAAACTTCTCCTTTACAGGGGAAAGAGAGAATCTGTTTCTTGAGTGATCTTTGTCCTCTAGAGTACTTACCCAAGCTATTTTTTGCTAAAATTAGTTTTCATTTAGTCTCAACAACTCCTTTTAGTAGAGGGCTGAAGGCAATTAATGATGAAGGGCTAATTCAAGCTGTAGAGAATTCTGTTCAACAGTGCATTGATTAGTTTAACACTGAGTCCTAGAAATGGATGGCATTAACCACGAACATCATACCTTGCTCCTACTTAGCAAGATTCTGAAAGTATGCTAATACTGTTGAGACCACTGATACAATTTCAATTGAATCCTTATTGTGTCTGTTTTGATTCTCTAAAATCTGCTTTAAATGGCATAATGATTATGTATGTAGGGTCATCAAAGTGGGGTGTTGTCGAGAGGAAAACCATTCCGCTACAGCAGAAATTCAGCATGGAAAAGGGGTGTTCTCATCTTCATCCTAGCTGCT